TTTCCACAATGGCTGAACTAATACATTCCCATCAGCAGTGGATAAGCATTCCCTTTTCTCTACAACCTTGTTATTTTTTGACTTTAGTAGCCATGCTGACTACTAAAGTAGTCAGTGGTATCTCATTGTGGTTTTAAGTTGCTTTATTTTTAATGGCTGCATAGCATTTACGATTGTACCTTATTTAACAAATTCTATTGATGGAAACTCTTATTTGCAGTTTTTGCTATTAGAAACATTTGCTGTCCTCAGTATCCTCTTACAAACTTGCACACACATTTTTTCACACACGCACTTCTGTGAAATAAATTCCTTACAAGGGAAATTGTTTGGGTCATAGAGTATACTTGAATTTTATCAGCTTTTGGCAGATTGCCCTCCATAGAGATTTTTATACTCCTACCAGTAAGGAATGAGCAAATGAGCATCTGTTTCTTTACCCTTGCCAACTCAGCATTATAAAACTTTTTATCTTTGTCAATCTTGTAAGTGAAAAATGGGATCTCTTTATGGTTTTAATTTGCATTTTCTGTGAAATTGAACATCTTTGTATATTAGCCATTTGTATTTCTTTTTGGAATCGGAGACTGGTGCTTTTTTCATCTCAGGATTTCTACGTAGTTGACAGCTGTTTTTAAGGTGCTATTTTAAAATGTATCTCAGTTTCAGAGAATTTAAATTTGACCAAATGTGCAGTATTATAAAATTGATAGAATTAGATGTCTCCTTATGCTTTGCCCATCTTTCTGTAGTGGGTTGGCCTTTTTCTTATTGATTTGTAGGAGCTTATAACGGAGTTAGCACTTTGGATATAAGTTGCAATTTTTGCCCAGTTTGTCATCTATTTCTTTGCTTTATAACACTTCATAAAACACAGAGACTTGAATTTTGTACACGTATTGAATTAACCATCTTTATGATGTCCAGGTTTTGCATCATACCCTGCCCAATATTGTTTTAAATAATTTAATCCATGTATTTTACTATTTTGTTTTTGTTTTAAACATTTAACCAAGTTGGAATTTTACTGGGAGGGATCATAAGGTTTGAGGTAGGGATTTCTGGTTTTCATTTTAGAAAAATGATTTTTTGCCTTTCTGAGGCTTAGTTTATAAGCCTCATTTTTTTTTTGCAATGTTTCATAAAATATATACACACACACACATATATATACACATACATATATAAATACAAAAATATAAATAAGTAATATATTTGCAGGATGTAATGTTTTACCATGGTTTGTTCAAATCAGAATTAGTGATGTGTTAGGTGTCGTCATCTTGCCAAGATCATAGTTGGCAGTTGGCTTGTGGTTATACTATGCCATCTACATGTATCTATTGCAAAAAAGTACCTAAGCTGGGTTGATACTATACAGTACATTGGGTTTTTGGTATATTTTATTAGGCAGTCACAGTTGAAAAGCTGAACTGTTACATACTCCAAGGATGTTTTTGCTACTTTAGGCATCTACTTTAGGTAATCTGCTTCTTGTTTGATTTAGACTAGTGTTTTTTAAACTTTAGCAATCATCAGAATCACTTGAAAAACTTGTTAGAACACAGATTGCTATGCCCCACCTTCAGATTTGCTGATTAAGTAGATCTGAGATGAGACTCAAGTTTTGTAGTTCTTACTAGTTCCCCGGTGATGCTAATAACTTTTTAAGGGAGTCTCTGCCCTATAACAGTCGGAAAACACTGTAGATGGTAAGGCACCCAGTAAAGTGTAGAGTTTGACTATCTTGTGGCATTTTTGTTTATTAATTCGTTATTGAAACTTCAAACTTAAAATTTTACTCTTGTGACTCACTCCTTAGCCTGGATAAATATTTCATTGCTACTAAGAAAGGTAGTAAAACTTGACTCTTACATAAAGGAAAATGGACTATAGTTTTTATCTCCAGTACCTGGTTCTGCCTTCCCTGAGTTCTGTGTCAAGCTAGTTTTTTGTTGTTAAGCAGAGGGTTTCATGCATTTAACAGTATAGCAAATCATCAGGTACTGTTTCTATTTGTTTTTTTTAAGTGGCTTAAAATTAACATTCATTCACTCACAATTCTGAAGGTCAGAAGTTCAAAAACAGCATGTTGGCAGGCTAGTTCCAACTGGAGGCTCTAAGGGGCAACAGTCTTTCATGATTCTCTCCTAGCTTTTGGTGGTAGCTAACGGTCTTTGGCTTTCCTTGGCTTGTAGCTTTATAACCACAGTCTCTGTCTTCATCTTCACATGGCTTTCCCTTTGCATTCAAATCTCGCTGTCTTTACATTTTATAAGGATACTGATCATTGGATTTAGGGCCCACTCTAAATTCAGGGTGATCTTTTCTGAAATTCATAACTTAATTACTTCTACAAAGACCCTATTTCTGAATAATGTCACATTGGTAGGTAACAGAGGTTAGGACCTGGGCATATCTTTCAAATACCTTTTTTTGCTATTAAATTTGTATATACAGTATATTCCTTTATCTGGGACTTTGTGGAGAGTGTGTTAATGTAGTAGAGACTTAGGACTGAGAATCAGTACAGTGATACCTAGTCTTAGTAACTGGTTTTGGGAATCTGTAAAAGTTAACTATGGTTTTTTCGTTTTCTTCACTGGGAAAGAAGTAAGTTTGACTGTATTCTTGAGACCTTCCAAATTTTAAAATTTCATTTTTCTTGAAATTCTTCATTGCACAAACAGCAATATCCCATATTAACTGGTGATGCAAGAAGTAATTAAGTGCAGCACCTCATGGAATGGGATCACTGGGTGATGGTCAGTGGTGAAGAACCATTAAGAATTGTCTGTGGATGACAGAAGTTTTGGCCATTTAACTTAGTACTTGTAATATGCATAGTTAATAAAGCACAATAAAATATTTCCATTAATCTAACTTAAGTATTTATAGTCTGCCATCTGTAACATTTCTTCCCTTAGAAAAATAAAAAGGAATGTCTGTTGGTTAGCTCTGCTCCATATTGTTGTGATTGGTTAAAGCTTGAGGAATGTGAGGAGAAAAAGGATCAAAATAAAGAAGGTGACTTTTAAAACCACTTTTAAGAAGTTTTCAACTTAAAGTCATATTTTGTCATTTCTCTGACTTTGTTCTCAAGTTTTTATTGTCTGAAGTTACAATGTATCTTACAATCTACTGAGGTCTTGTAGCTGGTGGCAGTTTGGTAATTATTGCCTGTGAATGCTTGAACTTGATCTAGCTGTACATATTTTCACCTCAAAGAATGTGAATTGTTGGGTCTGTATATACTGAGAGGATTTGCTAATTTAAATGCCTTCAAAAATATTAAATATCACACTATGATTCCATGTTGAAATGAGTACTGAGTATCAAGAGACTGGGAAATGGAGCAATAGGGTGTGAATATGCTAGTATTTGAGCAAATGTTGGAAGAGTAACCTATCCATTTTTTTTTTGCCCTGCAAATCAACAGACAGTTCTATTGAAGCTAAGAGAGTTAACTCAAAATAGAGGAAGCTGTAATGTTCTGCTACTAAGATCATGTACAAGAGTATTGCCTATCTTATGTCTGTGATATATCGAAAGACAGGAAGAATTACCAGATGTCCTCAGATCAAAGAAATTTCAAAGCAGCTACGGGCTATAGTGTTGCTGATTCATACACTATACTTTACTGTCTTTAAGGCACTGAGTCATAGTTTAATTGGCAGTTTTTTCTTTCCTGGTCTTACATAAAATAACCTTATAGTTAATGCTGTTTGTCCCTCCCAGAAATGTGGTAGTTTATTTTTAAAAATATGACCAAGGACAAGAAGCATAAAGTATATAAATGAGTTAAGATGGATTTGTTTGCCAAAAGCTTATTAAATTTAGAATTAAGTTTAGGTGAAATAAAGAGAATTCACTTCTTTTTGTGGTATACTATCAGTTTGCTGAACTTAATGCTCCAACAGATGGCATGAGCTAAAAATATCCAGTTGGTCCATGAAAGATTCGGTTAGACTAATCATAAAAAGAGCCAAAATGGTGAAATCATAAATGATAGCTTCAGATTTTTAATACCATTTTTAAATCTGTAAATAAAATAATGGGTTTTTAATCTAACTGAATGAGCTGTGACTTAAGCATCTAAAGGCATACTGTGTTTTGTCCAGGTGCCAAAAGGAAAATAGTTTTTTTCCATAGTGACAGCAGTAACCAGAGTGGAATGGACAGGAGATAGCTGACCCCTACAAAGTTATACAACCTTGACCCTTGATCTGATTGCCTTCATTCTTACGTGGCACCTCTCTTGTGATAACTGGAGTCCATATTAGCTGCCTTCACTTGAGCCATCCCTAACTAAGCCTAGTTTCCCTTTTTGGTTCATTGATCAATCTGACATCATTTGTTATTTATCTTCCATTTATGTATCAGCATTTCTTTAGTGTAGATGCTGCCCCTCAGTCCCACTTCTTTTATTAATAAATTCCTTTTGCGCGTTAAGATTATTTCTTTGGGGTGGGAGGAGGATGGCAGACTCAAGCGCTGTCAGCCCTTTTGAACCAAGAGCCTGGTGTTAGCTTATTAAGTAAGGAATTGTCAAGGCTTAACAAAAAATGTTTATTTGCATGTGGTAACATTTTAGTAGTGTGACATGAAGCAACTTAAAATGGTTTATTGGTTTGTTTTGTATGTTGAATATTTGTATGTTTTTAAAAGGTTTAAGAAATTGAAAATGATGAATTTTGCCTTGGCATTTGTGTGAAACCGTGTGATCGTTATGTTCCATAATCGGTCATAAAGTCTTCCCAGTACATTTCAGTGTGATATTTTTCAAGAATTGATAATGCATATTGTGTTTGGTTGTATACTCTTAAAAAAGATTTTCTTGAAACTTAATTTTGCAATTGATCGTGAAACAGTAGCACATTTGTTTGGGGCAGAAGTTTATTTTTAATTTACCTAATGTCTTTGCATTTCATTTTTGTCACGAAGTTTGGTTTTAAAATGACCTAAAGGAACCTTTAACCAACATGTTCTTTGGAATATAGGTATATGACTGATGGGATGTTACTTCGTGAAGCTATGAATGATCCCCTCCTGGAGCGTTATGGTGTAATAATTCTTGATGAGGCTCATGAGAGGACACTGGCTACAGATATTCTAATGGGTGTTCTGAAGGAAGTTGTAAGACAGAGATCAGATTTAAAGGTGAAGTAATTTCTTCTCTCCATTTAATTATATATGTGTGTATGTGGGCATAAAAATGGGGAATACATACTGATCAATAACCAACTGTAAGAAATCACCTGTAAAAGAAGGAACTAGTAAGTACTTTCTTGTTTTGTTTCTGCTTTGCTGTGTCTTCATTTTAGACTTTATTTCTCCCCCTTTTTAGTAATGCATTTTTAAGTCAAATCTTCTCAATTTCTTACCCACCTAGTTCTTTTATAATCTAATAACATATATGTGTAACTGCGCTACTCACTCTACCCTTCATTAAGTACAGAGGCCCCCTTTACTTAAGGATCAAATCTTTGTCCCTCAGATCCATGTCCTTGTCTCATCACAAACACCCATTGTAACTTATAGTGTTGGAGAGTGGAAATAACTATACATAGGACAAGGCAGCTCCTTAGAAATGTAGTCGCTTACCCTAGTGTATTACTTCTTTTCTCCATACCGCATGTACCTTGGCCACTGTTACAATGTTGATTAAGGGCCTAAACTATTTTCTGACATTTTTGTCCCCCAAAGTCTATGAAGTTCACCTTTTTGCTGTGTTGTGTGTGTATACTATTCATTAGAATGTAGACTCATCCCTTGTTGATATGTGTGTTATAGAAGGGTTCATAGCCTGGCAACAGAGCGAGACTATCTCAGAAACAAACAAACAAACAAGGGTTCAGCACTGGCAAGAAAGATTCTGGGTCTTTAGAAAAAAAATTGAGACCTGAGCATGTTTTTGTTTATAAAAATTAGATCAATGCTTTAAAAAATATATTTAAAGAATAATGTGAGTACTGTCATTATTTATTAAACTTACTGTGCTACCAAGGTTTTAGTGAGAACCTGAAAGTAGAAATTAAGAACTCTAGTGAAACATTTTATGGAGGAACCTTCTTTTTATATCTGGTCCACTGATTTTTGTTCGTTTGTTTGCATTTTCTTTCTGTTTTTCCCTATTTGCAAAGTTTTGTTTTAATAATGGTAGCAGTAATTATCCTACGTATTAATGTTTTCTTTTACCAATCTGAATTACATATAATTTTATAAAATCTGATTTTTAAGGTATTTTATGAAGAAATACTGTAGTTTATGCATTTATGTTTTTTCTAAATTTTTAAAAATGTAAATAAGTTTTACTATAGTTCAGCCATTATGTATTTGATTTTTCATTTACACTTTATTTGAAGGTTTTCATGGGCTTTTTAATAGCTGATACATACATAGAATAGTGAATATTGCTATACTTTAAGACCACATAAGAACCCTTGAAGACAGCTTCAAGTAATTTACTGTTTTCTTTCAGGTTATAGTTATGAGCGCTACTCTAGATGCAGGAAAATTCCAGATTTACTTTGATAACTGTCCTCTCTTAACTATTCCTGGGCGTACACATCCTGTTGAGATCTTTTATACTCCAGAACCAGAGAGAGATTATCTTGAAGCAGCAATTCGAACAGTTATCCAGATTCATATGTGTGAAGAGGAAGAGGGAGATCTTCTTCTTTTCTTAACTGGTCAAGAGGTATTGTTTTAATTTTCTTCATTATTTAGCTTTTGACATACTGTTTCTAATATACAGCAACTTTAATCATAAGAACATGGCATGTTAATCATTTTTTTTATTTCAATGTTCTTCAACCTGATTATATTAATATGTAAAATATATAACCCCTTTTATCTGTATACTATAGGAATACGTTTATATACCACTAGAGTTTGTGTTATAGTTAATTATTTTAAGAGTGTTAAATGCTTTTGGAATTTTAAGATTTTGCAATTGCAGTTTAGGAGATCCGTGGGATACAATTGGTATTATGCTGAGGCATGAATTTGCATCATAGCTGCTTTGAAATCAGGTTATCCTCATACAGTTATTTAGCTTGTGAGTGAACTTGGGTGCCTATTCATCGTCAAAACACTTCAGTTTGGTTTTGTCTTCCCATATGCTCATGAAGGTTGGAAAGGATGACTAAAAGTTCTTAGTTAGAATTTACTTCATTTAAAATTGTATTCTCAGATGTAGCATTTCTAAGCTTATTTTCAATAGGGTGTTTATAGGTGTGCTTTGGAACTCTTGAATGGCTAAATTCAGAAGCTGTTTGGATAATACAAAGTTTTAAAAAGGCTTTTACGAAAGGGTTTTTCTTTTTCTTTTTTGGGGTGGAGAGGGAGGACAGAGTCTCTCTCTGTCACCCAGGCTGGGGTGCAGTGGCATGATTATCGGCTCACTGCAACCTCTGCCTCCCAGGTCCAAGTGATTCTCTTGCCTCAGCCTCCCAAGTAGCTGGGCTCACAGGTGCCCACCATCACGCCTGGCTAATTTTTTTATTTTTAATAGAGACAGGGTTTCACTATGTTGGCCAGGCTAGTCTCGAACCCTGGACCTAAGGTGATCTGCCCTTCTCAGGCTCCCAAAGTGCTGGGATCATAGGTGCAAGCCACCACACCCAGCCCCAAAATGCTTTTCTGATGGCATATAAACAGCAATGGTGGTATTGAGACTGTTGGGATAATCATTTTGTCCTCCTGTGTCTGGTCTCTCTAGTTTCTCACTTCCTCCAAAGTGCATAGTGTATTTTTATTTTTATTATTTCTGAGATGGAGTTTTGCTCTTGTTGTCCAGGCTGGAGTGCAGTGGCGCGATCTTGGTTCACCACAACCACTGCCTCCCGGGTTTAAGTGATTCTCCTGCCTCAGCCTTCTCAGTAGCTGGGATTACAGACATGCACCACCATGCTTGGCTAATTTTGTATTTTTAGTAGAGATGGGGTTTCTCCATGTTGGTCTCGAACTCCCGACCTCAGGTAATCCACCTGCCTCGGCCTCCCAAAGTGCTGGTATTACAGGCGTGAACCACTGCGCCCAGCCATATTTTTATTTTTTAAATCAGTATTTAAAGTTGTCATCATACTCAGATAACATAAGCTTATTGAGATTCTATCAGAAATATCAAATGGCCTCATGGTTAAGGACCTGAAAGGTTTTTCTCTGAGACAGCTTTGTGCGCTATTTTTTAACTGAATCCCACAGCTGGGGAAAGGAAGGGAGTAAGCCGAAGGGTTTTCAGATGCGTGCTAGAGTGTAAGTCTTTCATGAAATAAAATGCCACTCTAGTTGTCAACTGTTTATATGCATACTATTGCTTCTTTAAATTATCTTTAGGTTCCCAGTCTTGAATTTGTAGAGTTTTGGGGAGAAGGTAGCAGAAAACCTAATGTTTTGTTTACATTTCATTTGTTGTATTTAGTAGTAGAGCTGGTCTAAAGTAAATATTACCTTCTCATTTTTGTGAACCTTCATTATTTTTACTTGGTAAGTTAAATGGTACTGTGAAATCAGTACTCCTTTCTTCATAAATTTGAATAGCCTCCATGAAATTGAGTAATCTTACAAAATTTTAAAACTGGTTTTTAAGAACATATTCTGACCACCTAAATAAAAGTGCTTCTGTAGTCACCTAAGTTAATTTGGGAGGAAGGGAGAACAGTGTTGCCTAGATAGGAATTAGATAAGAGTGATTGTAATTAAATAATTTTTTATTTTTAATTTTGCTTAGTAAAATTCTTTTTCAACATGCAGTGAGTTAATTGGTAAGGTCCAGATTAATTTACTAACATATTGCTGCTTTTGGAGTTAAAAATCTTTCCTCAAATAAAGAACTCCTGAACTGTCTTTATTCTTAGTATTGCTGATGACTAAGCAGATGGCTGCTGTTGGGACAGTGAAACTTCCTTTTCCTCCTCTACCTGTTTGTGTTTATATTCTGATGAATGCAGATAAGTTTTGTGGCATTCTCAGCTGATAGTGTTGACTTTTTGGAAGTTTGGCAAACCTCAGGGAAAATTTTTATTGCAAGTTTTAAAACTGTTTAGGACTTTATCTAAAAACATAAGTGTTACGGATTTCTTCCACATTTTAGAGATGCCTTTATATCCTACATAGTCAACATTTTGTTTTAGCTCCATGCATTCTTAGCAGATTGGGTAATCTAATCTCCAGCAAAGTTGGAATTGTCATTTTAAAATACTGGAATCACAGAGCAAACGTCTAATTTAAGCACGTAATTTTTAATGTGTGAAATCTGGATATTTTGTGATTTCTGACCATTTATTTTTCATGTATATACAGTAAAATTAAAATTGCAAATACTCTTAAATATTGGAAGCCTAGTTTTATATTATGTTCAAATATTTTTGAAGTTGGAGAGCTCTTAATTTTTTATTTGCATGCCAGCAGGGGGCATTCTAATCTAGATACAACGTTTGAAAGCAGTATTTTCAGAAAATATTTATTCACTTTGTTATGTTTTTTATTTAGATGAATAGCATCTACTTTCATTAGAAACTTGAGATTTCAAAGGGGGGGGATCTGTTAACATTGAATCTTTAATAGTAATTTTCTGTGTTGATTTTTGAGACAGATAACCTTTAAGAAAACTGGTGTGTTTGAAATAAGTGAAAAGTAATTTATTTGTTCTTACTGTGTTAAGGAACTTTGTGTTTTTTGATATAGAAACACAGTTGGACATTAAAAAAATATAAAGTAAACGTCCTAAAATTCTTCCTCATTCTTTAGTATCATTGTCCTTTGGGGGAAAAACGCGATTTGTTGACAAGGGTAGCTTCTGATTGGGTCATTTATTGGACAGGCTGCCTAGTATATAGTAAGTGTTTTACATACTTCTGGGTTTAATTGAATTAATACTTCAATAAAATTTGGGATACATTTGTCTGCAGTGCTGCCTTCCATTTTTAAGTTCCTTTGCCTCTCCCAGAGCTGTCATACATAATCTGTCTCTCTCTTTTCTTCTGTCTTGATATTCATTATGTCTCCTCTTGAATGCAGATGCCTTAGAATATAGTCATGTGTGACATAACAACATTTTGGTCAAGACAAACTTCTCAGATAGCCATGGTGCTGGTCCCATAAGATTATAATGGAGCTGAACGTAACCTTGCAACATCATAGCACAACACATTACTCACTGCTTTGTGGTGATGATAGTTCAAACAAACCTACTTTGCTACCAGTTGTTTAAAAGTACTATATAGCATGTACAATTATGTACAGTACATAATGATAATAGGACATTGTTAGTGGTTTATGTATTCACTACATGTTTTATCATTATTTTAGAGTGTTCTCCTTCGACTTAAAAATGTTAACTGTAAAACAGGCTTAGGCAGGTCCTTCAGGAGATACTCTAGGAGAAGACATTGTTATCACAGGAGATGACAGCTCTATGTGTGTTACTGGCCTTTGAAGACCTTCCAGTGGGTTAATATGTAAAGTTGGAAGATAGTGATATTGATGATCCTGACCCTGTGGGGGTCTAGGTTAAGTGTGTGTTTGGTTCTTTTAACCAAAATGTTTAAGAAGTTGAAAAAGTAAAAAATTTTAAATTAGAATAAAGCTTATAGAGTAAGGATATAAAGAGAAAATATTTTGCACAGCTGTACAGCGTGTTTGTGTTTTAAGCTAAGTGTTACTACAAAAGAGTCAGTTAAAAAAAATAAAAGTTCGTAAAGTTAAAAAGTTGCAGTAAGCTAAGGTTAATTTATTGAAGAAAGAAAAATATATCAAAAGAAAATACATTTTAAATAAATTTTGTGTAGCCAAAATGTACAGCGTTTATAAAGTCTACAGTTATGTACAGAATGTCCTAGGCCATCACATTCACTGAGTACTCACTCACAACAGCTTTCAGTCCTGCAGACTTCATTCATGGCAGATACCCTATACGGGTGTACCTTTTTTTTTTTGAGACGGAGTTTCGCTCTTGTTGCCCAGGATGGAGTGCAATGGCGCAATCTCGCCTCACCGCAACCTCTGCCTACCTGGTTCAAGCGATTCTCCCGCCTCAGCCTCCCAAGTAGCTGGGATTACAGGCATGTGCCACCACACCCAACTAATTTTGTGTTTTTAGTAGACATGGGGTTTCTCCATGTTGGTCAGGCTGGTCTCAAACTCTCGACCTCAGGTGATCCGCCTGCCTTGGCCTCCTAAAGTGCTGGGATTACAGGCGTGAGCCACCGTGCCTGGCAGTTTTTATCTTTATACCATATTTTTACCATGCCTTTTCTTTGTTTAGATGAACAAACACTTCCCATTGTGTTACAGTTGCCTACTGTATTCACTTAAGTAACATGCTCCTCAGGTTTGTAGCCTAGGAGCAATAGGCTATACCATCTAGGTTCATGAATACACTAGAATGTTTACACAACAACAGAGTCGCCTAATAGATTTCTCAGAACATATTCCTGTCATTAAGCAACGTGTGACTGTAGTTTTCTGAGAAAAAAAACTGTAGCTGCTCTAAGACATTTGGGTTAGCCTAGTTCTTAAATTATCTGTGTTGATACTGTAAAGGTGTTTGTTCTCATTAGGCACAATGAAGCAAATCTTCCATATAATTGCATTAGTGATACGTGACATTAAAGCCTAATTGGCTTATTTAAAATGTCTAGCACATCAATTTCTTTTAGATTGTGAAAATTGAAAAGGTCATAAGTGCATTTAAATATTCCTGGGTGAGAAATTTCAATTTTAGTACAATTTGTTGAGAATTAATTAGGAAATCTGACTCTAAGAAAAGGGGTGTGGAATGCAAATAAGGCAATTATATATTCATTTGAATACAAAAATGAAAGTTTCTTGGATTGTTTTGGAAATCTCGTTGAAATTTGCTAAATTAGTTTGGTTACTAAATTGAAAATAGGGTATCTATGAAGTGAAAGAAGATGGCATACATAAAATAGACTGCATAGAACTGTGATTATAGTAAATAAAAATGTTTCAGTATTCGTTTTTAGACTCACTTTTATTTTGTAGGAAATTGATGAAGCCTGTAAGAGAATAAAGCGTGAGGTTGATGATTTGGGCCCTGAAGTTGGTGACATTAAAATCATTCCATTGTATTCTACACTTCCACCTCAGCAGCAGCAACGCATTTTTGAGCCTCCACCTCCTAAAAAACAGAATGGAGCAATTGGAAGAAAGGTAACATTAGAAATGTTCTTTATAAACATTTCACTAATAATGAAAGCATTATTTATGATATACAAACTTCATTCAGTTATAAAGGACTAAGTTGTGGGTGATTATGATCTAGGTTTGTACAACAAAATAATATCCATTTGTAGGGTTCTGCATATCTCTTGACCCTAAAGTAAGAATGGGTACTGCTTCTCCTAGGTAGTCCCTCCTTAGCAAATGGAAGATTCATTAGAATGGGTTAAGAAAAGAGGATGTTGGCCAAGTACTGTCTTTTCTTCTATTAAATCACTTGGTATAAAGTAAGCACTTTTTCTTTGGTGCCTTGGCCTTCTGCCCATAATTTTCTTTAAGGCTTCACCAAGTAATGATGTCTACAGGTGGGAAATGTTGACTCTGTGCAGACCTCTAATAACAGTAGCACTGTTCTGGCCGGGCGTGGCGGCTCATGCTTGTAATCCCAGCACTTTTGGGAGACCGAGGCGGGCAGATCACGAGGTCAGGAGTTTGAGACCAGCCTGACCAACATGGTGAAGCTCTGTCTGTGTTGAAAATAAAAAAAAATTAGCCGGTCATGGTAGTGCATACCTGTAATCCCAGCTACTCAGAAGGCAGAGGCAGGAGAATCACTTGAACCTGGGAGATGGAGGTTGCAGTGAGCTGAGACCGTACCACTGCACTCCAGCCTGGGCAACAGAACGTGACTCCATCTCAGGAAAAAAAAAAAAAAAAAGGTAGCACTGATCACATTGCATAACTACCTGAGTTCCTTAAAGGCAGAAGCTTCATCTAGATCCTGTCACACAGACAGGAACAAGATTATTTCAGCCCTATTTCTGAGATACTTTGTTGAGGGGTTGGGAAGACATCCTGGTTCCAGTTTGAAACAGCAGCTAGGCTTTTATTTATTTTTTAAGATTTGGGAGTCCTAATAGAGTCTTTGAAAATAAGATTGTACATTTTTATTAAAAGGTTTAAATCACTTGAACAGTGGAGTCAACTAGACTTTTAAACCTAACCATGTATTAGGTTACATAATAGCTGCATGTGAATTTTGGTAAGATTTTCTTAATTTGTGATCCTAGTTTTTTCATTTTTTAAAGCTGTTACTTTGATCACTTAGGGGGACGATTGTCAAGGATTAAGTTTGACGTATACAAGATACTTATGTACAAGGCTTTTGTGGCAGCTGCTATAAGTTTCTTCAGTTTATTTGTATTGAAAAAAGTCTTACCTGAACTTCTTACTCACCTCATTTACTTGTTAGTCAAAATCGAAATTTGTTGCTTTCTTATTTCTGTATTGAGGACTAACACACCCACAACTTCTTTTGTGATTTTTTTCCCCAGTATCTTTGCTAATTTTTTGATGATTACTGAAAAATTACAAATCATAAACACAACTGTGATTATTTTTTACATGGCCATATAAAACTTAAATGAACAAAATATGTTTCTCAAATGGAAAGAATTCACTGAGTGGATGTGCAGTACCAGCCTAGTGTAATGTAAATAAACAGGGATTGATAGAAATATTAAAAAAAAAAAAAAAAAAAAAAACAGCTTTTGAGTTTTTCATAGATCATCAAGTGTAATAAATTTGACTTTTAGAAAATAGTCTAATCATAGCTTCATAATGTTGAACTTTTAATTATTTTTTGCGTGTCTCTAGAACATGTTAAAATATTTTTTTCATGTTACCTTATGTGTATTCTGAACTTTGGGGAAAACTTGTCATTTTAAGTGATAGTTTTAATATATAATTTTGATGCTGATTTGTGGACTAGAAAGTGCTTTATTCTCTGTGGGCCTAATTTTAGCCTGATTCCTCATCAGCAGAAATATGTATCTATATATATATATATATATAGAGAGAGAGAGAGAAATATATGTCTTAAATATTTATATAATAAACAGAAGTTAATGCACCCTTCAGGCAGAGCCTTTATTATTATTACTATTTTTAAAACAGCATAGGGTCTCACTATGTTGCCAGGGCTGGTCTTAAACTCCTGGGTTCAATCAGTCCCCACTCCTGGGCCTCCCAAAGTGCTGGGACTATGGGCGTGAGCCACCAGGCCCGGCCCTCAGCCTGCCTGTTTTTCATTTGTCTTGAAATCGTGTACTTTGTATATCTGTATTTGTTTTATTTTTAAAATGTTGTGTTTGTTTGCCATTGAGTGAAATTGGTGTACAACAAAGATGTCCCGTTTGTGCATCCTTTTGTGTACTTCTCATTTCATCGAGTTCTACTTTGAGAACTATGGGCCCATATTTACTACAATTACACATCTGAGCTCTTGCTGTCTTAAGCCTATGAAGTAAATTAAGGTTTTTGTTTCTGTTTTGCTTTTTGTGTTTTAAATCCTTAGGATGCTGAGGAGAATTTTGTCTTACTGAAAAGAGTGACTCAGCAATGGCTGGATATGTGATGATGGCCACAGTTGGTGATGGGCTCACTCTGAGGACTGATCATGAGCTTGTATTTCAAAACTAAGAGCTATAATGCCACTTTGCCATCCAGTGATGGTGTTTCAGCCAAAGCTGTAGGACCTCTTGCTGGGAAATCATGTTATCCTTACCTTGAGTCAATTTCATCTTAGAAATTGAGACGAGCACTGATGTAGCTTCCCTGGACAGTCTAGGGAGAGTAAAGGAAGACTTCCTTGGCAGTTGGTGCATCATTTTCATTATGAGGAAGAACATTCTGAGGTGCAGCATGTTAAGCACAAATTTAAAGTTTTCATACAAGGCTAGCTTATAGAGGAGGGATCTATACAACTGTTCATATGTAATTTTATTGTTTGCATCCAATTGTGAAAAACAAAATATTTGATTTTTTCTGTTACACTGTTGATTCTAATATAAGGATTGTAGCTAGCATAAAGCAAATATATAAAAGTATTGAAAGTTTTTGAACAAATAAAATATTTAATATGATATTTTAATTTCCATCAAATTGTGAGTCTGTATAACTTTATATTTGAGTACCTTTTATAAGGCAGTGCCATTTCTTATTTCTCACTCTTAGTTTATGCAAAATAGATTTTATAACTTGATTGTGATACTAATAAAACAGAGTAACCTTTTAAACTTGTTACAGTACTAATGGTGAACGATTTCAAGTTTTTAGCAATCAAGAAAGGTTGAGAATGCAACATATATTAATACGAAAGTAGATATTTTTACCTCGGTAATTTTTGAAGTTTATTGAAGTATTTGACTAAGTTAAAAGTTATAGTAATTCTTTACATGCATTCAAGTTTACTCTTCAGTGGATAACTTCTGCATTTCTTGACTGAGACATACAATTGTTATTTTATGGATTTGGTTGTTACTAAAATACCACTATAATTATTTTTTAAATATTTAGTTTTCACAAATTTTGTTCATACAAATAGCTGACTTTTCTATAGTTTATCCTGCATTTTGCTAATCAATATGATTCAGAGCATCAATTGCTCAGTAAAAAAGAGAAATGGCCCTTATGGAGATGGTTCTATAGTTTTAAAGAGAGACTTGATGATCCAGGGTCTGAAGATAGCTTACTGTGGTGCTGCTGGGACGTTTATAAGCAAATAAGTTGATGTGCTTGTATTGGAGACCCCCACAGAGTTCCCTGGGGACTAAAAATCCAAATTAGTTTAAACTAAATGCATTATTGTGTCCAGACAGTATTCAGGTAGGGCAAATGAAGTACTGCGAGTTCTGCTCTGAAGTGGAGTTATTGGGGGTGGGGTGGGGGGTGGGAAAGTGGTTCTATTAGAAAAAAAGTAAATTCTATTAGAAGGCAGGTTATTGAGGGGGAAAATTTACTCTTAGCATGTCCTGACAGTGATGCCAAGCTTTTCACCATAGGGTCTGTTCCATATTAGTAAATGAAATTTGAACACTTTTTAAGGCTCTTTGAACACTTACTGCAGTGTTGCAGTCTAGAAAGCATGTAACAATTATATTGATTCTTACTGGTCATAATGTAAATCCCTTGACAAATTCAAGGTCATTTTGTCTCCTGATGGGTTCCTGATTGTATGGTGTGCCATTTATAATTAGAACATGCTTAGGGCTTGCCTCACTCAATTGCTGAGGTTCCAAAGAAGCTTTTATCTTGTCATTTATTAGTTTGCTTTTGCATTGTGTGTGTGTGTGTGTGTGTGTGTGTATTTAGCCTTAGCTATTTTTAGTCCTTGAGAAAGGCCTAAAACTTGTGCTTTTTTGTAAGGACTCAATTTAACACTTGTATTTTAGGGTTTGACTTTTGGCTGGCAATAGGCTCTTATTAATATCAATAATGACATGGGTTTGCCAAGTTGGCATAAATCATTTGATTCTTAAACACATGCAGAATCATGCATCCGTGTCTTGTTAACTATTACAGAATTTAATACACACCCAGACAAAAGACATACAGGATGAAATTATTTTGTGGAGAAAAATTAAGTGTTTTTTTAATAATAGTAACTCTTTAAAGAATTGGTCACATCAGAAATTTTTATCACATTGTATTCTGTTCTAGAAGAAATATGTGACATGTATTTTTTGCCAGAATAACTTTTTAAAAAGTGATTTTCTTCATAAATATATTCAGAACCATGGTTTTCATCCCAGAATTCCAGAAAGCCAGAAGACGTCTTCTGTATTTACAGGCATGTAGTTGGTTCTGTATAGATTTGAGATAGGGTCTTAGTCTGTTGCCTAGGGTGGAGTTCTGTGCCATGATCGTAGCTTACTGCAGATTCAATCTTCTGGACTCAACCAGTCCTCCCATCTTAGCCTCCTAGGTAGCTGGGACTACAAGCATGTGCCACCATGCCTGGCTAATTTCTTTTAATTTTTTATAGAGGTGGAGTTTTACTATGTTGTTCAGGCTTGTCTCAAACTCCTGGACTCAAATAATCCTCCTTGGCCTTTTTAAGTGCTGGGATTACAGATGTGAGCCACCATGCCTGGCCCATTCTGTATAGTTTATAGAGTATTTCCACATCCTTACATAATTTATTCCCTACAACCCTGTGTTACATAGACTAAGTAATATGCAAGTTATAAAAGGAGTACAAGCTTGGGGGTGTTAAAACCTTTCCACAGTTACTTAGCCACTCAGGTTTGATTGCTGTGTCTGCCAGTTATCTCTGAGTTCGTCACTTCTTTAACTACAACAAACAGACTTTCTAGAAGAATATTAAATGCAGGTTATGCTTATTCAAGTTTCACCTGTTAACCTTATGTGTGTTGTTGTTTGCTTCAGTTCTAGCTGCTGATTATTTATCTAAATGTCCTGAAGAATGTATTTCAGCAACATCATCAAACCACTTGTCGTTCCTTATTCCTTTGCTAGTTGTCAGTCTTTTCAGCTGACAAATAAAAGGAAACATTTTTGTTTATTATTTGTAAATTATTCTGAAATACACTGATGGTAGATTGCTATTATGTTTTTAAATCCCTGAGGTTTCCTGCTAGTATTTTGGGAAGTCTACCACTTAGTAAATATGAAATCAGAAAATGAAACTGTTAATATTATTTTAAGTAAAATAGTGAATGCAGCAAAAGCGTATGATTTTTTAAAGCTATTTGATTTATAAAATTAAGTGTTTTTAAAATAAAATAGGGATAAATATAAATCTTTTCATTTTTTGTATGTGTCCATAGGCATTCCTGCCCACATGTGTTTTTTAAGATGGAACTTTAAGTGCCGTTTCCTTCTCTAATGAGTAGGTCTTAACCTTAACCTTCAAGGACTATCCTAAATGCTGTTATTTTTCAGTAAAGCTTTTCTTGTCTTTGCTATGGAAGTAAACCTTTTTAAATTTCACAGTGTATCTTTGGTGCCACTCACACTTTCTATCCATGTCTAATCTTCCCTTACAAATGGTAAAAGCAGACTCTATTTGATTCATCTTCTGTATCAATTGCTTGTGTGTACAGACATCTTCAACTTAATATCAGTAACCTGTTCCTGAAAATCAGATGTACTAAGTTAAAATGCTAATGAGGAATCCCCATTTCCCATTGTTTTAAAAGGAAAAAATTATATGTAACATCTTTCCCAAGTCCTTAACTAATTTCCTAAAACATATGTAATTTATAGTAAAACATGCACATACACAAAACAAGCTATCATATTAGTATGTAAATGCCTTAAACATTTTCTGTCAATAAAAAAATTATGGTTCTTAACAGTTGCTTTGTATTATTTAGTAGCATATTACATGTCATCCCTTTGAGATCATGCACTTACCAAAATATTTACATTTGATTCTGCTGATCTGTCAGTTCTTACTGGATTATAACTTGAGGTTTTTTCCATGTGGCATTTTGTTTAAAATGTTGAGTTGAATTTTGGTGATATAAATAACGAAGTTTTCATTTTGAAAGATACACTTGTGGAAATTTGAATACTAATTATAAGGGCTGTTTTATGAGACATTTTGTAAGGCATGTTATATTGCTTTATCAGTATTTTTCTTTTTATGCTGTCAATTAATTTGATTAAGCAAAATGTAGCACGGTTGAGTGATAACCTGAAGTAATTAATAGCTTTGTTGAGAAAAAAGTTGCTGTTGTGATGTAAACAAAATTTTGGTTTCTTAAATTTTAATTTACCTTTTTAAAGCATTGGTCATTGAAAATCAAATCATATTTCTAGTTTATTTGCTGGTTTGAAATTCCTTGTGTTAGTGATAGTGGCTGATGTTTAACAGTCCTGTTAATTTTATTTGATATGTAATATAATTTATATACTGTATTTCTTAACAGGTAGTTGTGTCAACTAACATAGCAGAGACATCTTTGACAATAGATGGTGTGGTGTTTGTGATTGATCCTGGATTTGCGAAACAGAAGGTACATATTTAGTGGATACTTTATAAATTAGAGTTGGTTTAACGGTACTTACTACCCATTCATTTAATGGCTAAAATTTACCTTTCAGAATTATTTTCTTTTGTTTGATTTTCAGATTTCTGCTGTATGTTCTGGGTGGCTCTCAGAAATTAAGACACTGTTTAATATGTAATTCTAGGCTTTTTTTTCTTTTAGAATTGCTTTGATTTCTTTGTTTCAGTGTAGTGATGGTCGGTGTTTTGGCTTGTATATTCATTTAACAGTATGGGTTTAGTAATAAAGTACAGGATTTCCATCCCTGCAGTTCAGTCACTTATCCAACATTAGAGTTACTGCTGTCAATTAGGCACACTATTTGAAAACAGTCCTATGTTACTCCTCTAGTTTAACAGTGCTGTGTACTAAATGAAGTGAAGTGCAAGTGAACTGGCTATTTAATAAATACATGTTTTATTTTTCAAGTATCTTTTGGATAAATTAATTATATTTTGTAGGCATATCATGTTATTGCTGGAAATTTTTTTCCATTAAACAGTATCAAAGTAATAGTACCCAGAACATTGAGTTTTGAAAGTGCAGGTTTCTTTTTGGACAGAATCCTTGACTGCCCAGCATATAAAAAGCAAGGAAAAAGGTCAGCCTGATAGAACTGAAATTATCTGAAATTAGGAGGAGTAAGGATTATATAAGCTGTCTGTGTGTTTGACAAGAAGTTTTTCATGTTAGTTTGAGTCTTTCAGATGATCGAATTAGAATGTCTAAAAGAACTTTAAGGTTCAGGATGATGGGTTGTCTATTGTAGCAGCATGATTTATGGCCATCAATATTTCTTTGTTTATTTTGGAGTTAACTGTGGGCTTTGGATACTTCTGTTGGATCACAAGTTTGTGTTTGACTGAAGAAAGACTCTTGTGTTATTTCAATTCCAATAGGTCTACAATCCTCGAATCAGAGTTGAGTCCCTTTTGGTGACAGCTATTAGTAAAGCGTCAGCTCAACAAAGGGCTGGTCGAGCTGGACGTACCAGACCTGGAAAATGCTTCAGACTTTACACAGAGAAAGCTTATAAAACAGAAATGCAGGTATGGGGTATTGTTGTTTCCTGCCTATATGTTTAAAATGTTAAGTTGAATTTCTTACCAGAAGAAAATTGCCTTATTTACTTAATCTTGCCCTTTAGGATTAAAAGCTCCTTAGCTTTTCCAGGAGTGAAATGTATAGTGTAATTAACTTAGGTAGTTGCACACCCCCTTATTCGAGGCTGATACATTCCAAGACCCCCCACCACCACCACCATGCCTGAAAACTAGAATATGCTGAACCTTACTTATATATACTATGTATAAATATCTTTCTTTACAATTTCACTGGTAGAAGATACATTCTTACTTTAGATGTGTTTGGTTTTTTTTTTTTTTCTTTCCTTACTAGGTTTCAACTTCTTTTCTTTCCTTACTTTCAACTTTTCACTTAAAGGAAATATTTCAGGGCATATCCAAATTGCCAGCATCACTATTCTTGGCGCTTTGGGGCCATTATTAAGTAAAAGGTTACTTGAGCACAAGCACTGTGATACTGCAAAAGTTGATCTCATAACAGATGGTTGTTAAGTGAAAAATGGGCATATAGTGTATATAGCATACTACTAAGAATGGTGCACAGTTTAAAATTGATGAATTGTTTGTTTCTGGAATCTTTAAAATTTTTTCTGGTGACAGTGGTTAACTGAAACCATGGAAATTGAAAACACAGATGAGTGAAGACTACTATACAAATTTCTTTCTGCAGTTTCTAGTTTTATGGACAGTAGCAAACACTTCAAATACCATAAAGATAGTTGGAGAAAAATGGTTTCTCTCTAGTGTAGTCTACAAGTATTTATCTCTCCTGAGACAGTAGTGTAGAAGTAATGCCAAAACAAATAGCTCGGGAGGCAGTGAACAGATTTTTGTTTTCTTGAACAAAGAGACTGAGGCATGTTTAACATAACAAATACATGTTTTTGTTTTTTGCTAGGATAACACCTATCCTGAGATTTTGCGTTCTAATTTAGGATCAGTTGTGTTACAATTGAAGAAACTTGGTATTGATGATTTGGTACATTTTGATTTTATGGATCCACCAGGTATGACTTATCAAAACACATTTTTATCAGATCTTTTAACCAAAATTGACTCTTAGTGTTTTTCTGCATCCTATTTAATATATATATTAAATACATTTTGCCTTTTCCATCCAGTGTGCATCAAGATTAAGTCTTACGTGATAGCATTAAAACTAAAAAAGGTGACAGTTATATGAGCACATTCTTTTTTTTCTTCAAAAGTTATTATGGGGGGGGGGGGTTAGGTAAATTGAATTGTCCTCTGGGCATGAAAATGTGAGAATTCCTAATTTTTCTTTGGGGGAAAAACAGTCTGATAAACACATTGATGAATTAGCAGTTATTTAATGTATTTCGGAAGAAGACAGTTTTGCCTACAGGAGAATTTTGCAATGTTTTTATGATTCATTGTTTGCTAGATCTGTATAATTGAATTGGATGACAGTTTGAGTTTGAGTTTGGTCCACTGCAGAATGAAAAATGAGATTGCTTATAATAGTTTGTACTTTGTCACATTTTTGCTTGCTTAAGGCACCGTGTCTATTCGATTGTCTTTTATCCCTAGCTCCTGAAACTCTGATGAGAGCCCTGGAACTTTTGAATTATCTGGCTGCTTTAAATGATGATGGAGATCTGACTGAATTGGGATCCATGATGGCAGAGTTTCCTCTAGATCCACAGCTCGCAAAAATGGTTATTGCAAGTTGTGACTACAACTGTTCTAATGAGGTCCTATCTATTACTGCTATGTTGTCAGGTAATAGAGGGAAAGGAACAAAAAAAAGCCCAGCTCTTCAAAGTTTGGGTGGACTTCACTTTTGTTTTTGTTTTTTAATTTTTAGTATGATAGTGGATTTTATAGATGATTTTAAGGAATTAATCTTGTTTCCTAAATACCTTGTAAATAGCTTCGTAATGACATAGTACTTACAAAAGTAAAGTAAGTCATTGTGCACAAAAGATAGTAAAACATTGGCTGTCTTGAGTGCTAATAAAAATTGCAGTTAGTTTGAGCACAGTTGTAACTGAATCTTTGGTTAAAGGTCCATCACTGCTATCTTTGTGGGTTTTTTTTTTTTTTACTGCAAGTACAAGAAGAACTTTGCTCTAGTACTTGGCTCTATTAAATGTGCCTGTGGCAAACTTAAAGCTATACATTAAGTTGAGCCTTTTCTATATATGTACTCCAATGGCACCCAAACAAACATGAATTTCAAACTTGATATCAAGTAAATAGAAATAGTGATGTATAATTTTAGGCTTAAAATCTAATCTGACAATGACATTCTTTTACAATGGTAGAAAAACTTGGTAAAAGAAATATACCTAATATATAAAATTGCCAATTTTGTAAAATTGGACCATTAAGCTAAGGAAATAATGCTGTTTTTAGTAACAAAATGTAAACCACAAATGAATAGTAACTTGGAAATTAGATTTTTCCTAAAGGAAAAGAAATATTGTTAAGAAACAAATGAATGGCTATTCTTACAGCTAAAAATAGAAAATAAGTTCTTACAATCAAAATATTCTGTGCTACTAGTTTTAGCACTGGAGAGAACTGACTCCCTATTGCTGAGTGGTTTATTGATCTTAATGCTGCAAATATTTCAAAATATTCTGTGGAATTAAAGGATAAATTGAAAAAAATTTAAATATAAAATAATATGGCTTAGTTTAGATGTATGGTATATTCTAATGGTGTGAATTTTTTTATTTAAGAAGTAGCTAAAATGTTTTCTTGCAGAGTTATGACTGATCAGACTCAGAGCAGATGGGCAGGGCAGTATTGAGTCACTTTAATTAAATTGTAGCTTCATTTGCGGAGGTGGTGGTAGGTTGTTGTCTGCCTTTCTTATATGTTGTTTTATAGATTCTCCCAGTTGTACTTCTCCCAAGATTTTAGTTTTTAGAGAAAGTGTGCGGCAAGAACTAATGGATTGTGTACTTATTTGTCTATCTACCTAGTTTTTATTTCTCTAGGTTCTCTTATCAGATATACTTGTATTTTTACCGTTGTTTGAGTTAAGAATATTAGCTCTTTAAAAAGTTTGTTGTTGTGATGCAGTTGTAATCTTCCAACTACATCTCAGTTTTATTTGTAATTTTAAACCTTATTTTTATTTATTACAAATAAAAACCTTTAGTTTATCAGGAGAATGAGCATTTATGTGCAGCAATGTAAATGGACTGTTTTTAAACGGTCCATTTGTAGGAAAAGTGTTCAAATAAGAGGTGAGGAAGAAGTCATGGAACAAAAAACAGTTTGCTAAGCTTGTAATGCTTTGTTTGACATTAAAATAGTTTTTGAAGTTTTAAGGTCCTGATATTAACAGTGCAAATCTAGAGGCCTTTCAGAGCACTACTTATTTATTCCCACTTAACTCTAGTGGCTAGTTCACATTAACATTCACAGCTGTGAGAAGTTTGTGTACTTTTATGATTACCTTGCTTCAGTTACATTAAGCAAGAGTTTTAATATTTATTATGATCATGTTTTGTTGTCACTATTTGGCTATTTTGGCATCTTTTTAAAGGGGAAACTGTATGGGAAAGAGTAATATGATACTGTATTTTATCTTGTTGTTGATTATTCCCATTACCTTCTATCGGAACCGATAATTTATGAAGTTTTTCATTGACAAGGTTTTAAGAGCTTTTAAAATGTGTTGAAAAAGTCCCAAGCTGTTAAATATTTTTATTTTCATATTGCTTTTATGACTATGGAATTGCTAAACTGAATTAAGGAAAGTTGTATTTCAAAAAATGTAGTACATGCTTTGTAACAATTTAAAGTTTTATGTGAATTAATATTGAGGCTCTAAACAAATAACTGTAGTTACATATTTTGATGACCCTTGATATGACTGTTTCAGACTAATTGTCAACTTTTGAAATATTGGACTTTGCTTTATATTGAGGTTTTGATACAAATAAGTTTGTTTTTTTCTTTTTTAATATTGGGACTTTATTTTCTAATCCTTTTGTTAAAATGCTGAAACACTAGGCTGAATATCCCAGCCTTTTTGAATTTTCTTAATTCAGAGGCGGTTTAACCTTCCACCACTACTGCTATCATCCAAACCCAAGAATTCTTGATATTTTTATGTTTACATATGCTTCTGCTCACCGGTGCTAATAGTGATACCCACCAGTTGGTAATAGCCACAGTATTAGGGAAAAAATTCTGATAGAAACATGGCAGTAGACTGGTTTCAAAGTTGTTGTTAGCTCTGCAGTGGGCAAGCGTAGCTTCCTAACTTTCATGGCCATTCAATAGATTTAGTGGATGTCCTTTTGAAAAATTACAGTTAGCTGAAAGGCAATTGACACCATTATTCTGGTTATTGGTAGAGCTATCAGCACTGGTTTTTTTAAATAAGTTGAGCTTTTTAGTATCCTGATGGCCTTCAGAATAGCTGTTTTGATGCCTACTTTTAGATCTAGTTAAAATAATCAGGTACTCTGTAGCTTTGAAATCCTCTTGTCTTACAGATGTGGTTAGGTGTTGATGTACCAAATCAAGGTAGTAAACAGTCCAAGATGCAGTTGGAGGCCATCCTGCCCTGCCCTATGCTCTGTGAACTGACCTAGCTAGGCCTTGTTCCTCTATCTGTGAATGCGTGACTCATCGATATGGGCGTTTGTGTTGGGCCCATACCAACCTTGTTTAGTCCCACAGTGTTTTGTTCGCCCCACGGAGGCCAAGAAAGCCGCAGATGAGGCCAAGATGAGATTTGCCCACATAGATGGAGATCATCTGACACTGCTGAACGTCTACCATGCTTTTAAACAAAGTAAGTGTAAATTTGATTGGAGACATTCTTTTGTCTAAATGTCACTTGCAGTGTATAAGATGTTTCTTTGTTCCACTTTCATTTATTATCTCTGACAACTTACATAAGAAACCCAGAGGTACTTCAGAAAAACTCCTGACTAGCATTTAAGATAGAAATTGCCAATCTTTCCCAAAGTTGTTTATGTTTATGATCAGGGGATAAAGCACCAGTTGTAGAAAACCTGAAAAATACAGTGATAAAAATGACAGACTTGTATGACATTTATCGCTAACATGCAAGTTTTTATATACTTTTATTTCTGTGCATTTTACATTTTAAGAATAGTTTTATATTGTTTATACAATTCATTACTCTAACATTTTTACTAATAAAGAACTTTTTACACCAAAATAAAGCTAATAGAAAAAAATGGACAAGTATGAATGATGGTTCTCAGGCTACCAGTGGTCTTGTAAACATGATATGGAAAAGTTCAACTGTACTGTTAGCCCAAGAAATGCATTATTATTTTGGCATTATTATTGATAATGAAAGGCATTACCATTTTCTCACCTATAAAATTTGCAGACATTGAAGAAAAATATTCCTTAGCTGTATGGGAGTGGAGTTATGTGGTCTTTATGTGATTTTATGTTACCAGGAACTTTAGCAACCTTACACTCTTGGACCCAGAAATAATTTAAAAAGTTATTTTTTGGTATTCTGTGTACACTGGTTTGATTAAAGAATTTCATCCCATCATTATTTATGGTGGTAAAATAAAATTGGCTACCCAAATGCCCACCAGTGGAAAAATTGTGAGTTACGCTGTAGACATATGAAGGAATTGTTCTAGCTTTAAATTATCTTATCAGAGAATATTTAGAGACCTGAAAAACATTTGCCAATGACTTGTAAATGAGGAAACATAATAATAATGAAGTTATTGCTAGCTGCTGTTGTTGGAATGTACCATTTACAGAAATTGAGAGGAACCCTTAATAAATTCAAAGGAGAAAAATATACAGCAATTGAGTGCAACCGGATCTGACAGTTTTGTTTTTTTTTTTTTTTAACTGATAGCCCTACATCATCACCCCGTGCCAAAAATGTGGAATTCCGTCACTAAGTTTGTAGTTTCTTCTCATGAGAAGTTGGTTTCCTAATTTATAAAGTTGACATTCCAGTTTTGTATGTCTGGTTTTATTTGTAACTCATTTTTATTATCTCATAAAAATCTCATTTATACTCTTTAAATGGGGGAGCCTGTTGACTTTGGCACATCTCTGTGGGGGTGATGGTGAATTTATTTGTCTTGGGGTCCAGAAGTGCTAGAGGGCCAGTGTGTGCACCAGACATAGTACCTAACTTGCTTTACGTCTGTTGCTTACTCCAGAACCCTGATATGAGTTGAATAGAATTGATGACTAGCAGAGAGAAAGAATGGAGCCCTTCTCTGCCCAGGCCCAAAAAAACTTGGGCAGATATGAAAGTTAAGGGAAATGTGGTTATGAAACCAAAGGCTTAAGACCAGCACATGGTTTACCTTAGAATCTTTCTTGTATCCAAATACTGGTATTATGAAGTGTTAAAGACTTACCCCTGATTAGACAGATATACTCAAAAAACCTACTGTATTCCTCTTGTATGCAAAACATGCAGGGTGACCAAGAGATACATAACCTATTAAAGCCTTGAGAAGGAACAGATTTACAGTCAGAGGGAATGTAGTAAGTTAGAATGGTCTTGTCCACCCACCAGATGTGTGATCTATTTCTGATAAATACATCAAAATACTACTTTTTACATCAAAATACAACTAATAAAATAGAAAAAACAGACAAGTATGAATAATGGTTCTCAGGCTACAAGTGGCCTGTAAACAAGAGTTGGAAAAGTTCAAGTCTACTGTTTGCCCAAGAAATAAATTATTAGTGAGAGGTACTATGAGCTCTCACTGCCAGAGGGATGGTCAGTCATTGGTGGTTTTTAGGGGTTTGCAGTATGTGATGACTTGACATTTATTAGAACCGTCCTTATTAGTTAAAGATGAGGATTTATCGTTTAATCACTGATTGCCACCTTTTCAAATAAGAGAAGCCCTTTAAAAAAAGAAAGCAAAAAACTTTGCCAGATCCCCATGCGTTATTATTTCAATATAGGCATATATATGGTTATGAAAATATTTGAAATATTTTCATAAAAGCTTTTTAAATGGTTGTGTGTTATTAATTGAATCATTCAGTATATTTGAAACAAAGCGTGTTTCAGATACTGGTCAAGATGTTTTACGTTACAGACAATAGTTGATTACATAGTGAAGCTAAAATGTCATGTCAATTAAAATGTTGTCTTAATACTATTTATGTAAATAACCCTTTGAAATCCAAAACTAGATTTAAGTTATTTTGCAGTACCTTAATCTGTCTAGGGAGGGGAGATTACTCTCTAAAAATTAGACAGTGATTTGGCTTTAGATCTTAGGGGTAGTTTACTGTATTGGTAAGAGAGAAACAGCTAAAGTTATATTAATAAAATGTTCCCAGTTTTAGGTTTACTTCTCCCATTTACGCAATTATTTCTCACAAGTTTAGAAATACAGTAGAACCATCAGATGTTAGTTATTAGTCATTTGTTCTTAACAAATAGAATTGCCATTTTTCCATCTGTAGTACATGAATTCTAAAAATTGAGAACCACACAAAAAAACCTACATTTCAAGCCATAGTCTGCAAATCAACAACCCTTTCAAAAATTTGCCTTTTTATTGTCCAGCTTGGGCATTTTCCTGCCTTTCAGCTTGTTATAGAGCATCAGCGTAAGTAAAATTACCTCCATGGTGTGCTGTTTCAGCTCCCAAAGATATTCAGTGCTTTGGTTTAAATGTCAATAGCTTCAGATGGGTACCTTTTATTTCTCATTCCAGATGGATTAATTAATGGGTGTTCTAATATGTTACTGTATTCTTTAATTCAAAGATCTATTTCCTATCTCCACCCCACGCACTCTTAATTTCTGAAATGGGGATGCATTTTGTAATGGATAAAAATGTACATATGTATTTGTTATGTCTCTAAAAAACATTAAGGCAAAGTTATGCACTATAACTAGAATCCTGGAACCAAAGAGAAAAGAATATGCTGAAGGTAAGCATACATCACAGTAGCAAGAGAAGGATCAACAGTTTTAATTTTTGTTTTCTCTCTCCCATTTCACAATAACCCTCTTAGTTTTATTTATCAAAGGTCCTCTGAAATAAATAATGCAGTTCTTTGCCATGACTGTCTTTGGTACATAAAAGATGTCACTAAAATTTTTTTCGTGATGCTACAGGTTGAGCTCTTTAAATGAGCAACACTAGGCTAGTTGGAAGCTTATCAAGGATTCATCAGAGAAATATCCGTTTGATAATACATGCAGTAAAATTACTTGAAGTTCTTAGACTTAGGTTTTGTTTATTAAACGTGAATGGAGGTTTCAGGCATCCTTGTAAACTTCAGTTTCAGGACTTGCTGGTAAATTGCTTAGAGGCACGCGTGTCGCTATAAAACTTTGACGTCTTTAAGTCTGGGGTGCTCTAGCTCAGGCATAAAGAACAATACAGGACAGTTGTTTGCAGTTATCTTAATCTAAAGCTGTAGTTGCATTGAAAATGAACAGGCCGGGACTTTTACCTAATACACCCAGCCTTCCCTTATCTGATAGACTATCTTTTGGAAACAACCAGGTGGATGTTAATGGGTGAAATAATTCACTAAAAACAGTTAATTCAAAATCATTGTTTTGGCATCCAAATCCAAAAGCCTTGTTACTGTTTCTAATGTTGAATCACACTACAGATCTTTGAGAAAGTTGGTAACATTGCAGTTTTAAAGAAAATGTTGTGGGTAAATCTCCTTTCTGGTTTATTTAGCTTATTCTTTATAACAATTTTTTAATTAGAGAATATTCCTGTGTGGATGATTCATGGTCCCCTCTTTTCTCCCCGCCTTCCACCTTTTTAGATCATGAATCGGTTCAGTGGTGTTATGACAACTTCATTAACTACAGGTCCCTGATGTCTGCAGACAATGTACGCCAGCAGCTATCTCGAATTATGGACAGATTTAATTTGCCTCGTCGAAGTACTGACTTTACAAGCAGGGACTATTATATTAATATAAGAAAAGCTTTGGTTACTGGGTATTTTATGCAGGTATGTAGATAATACGGGAATGAATAATTAAGTATTCACATGACACTGATTTCTATTAACAGTCCTTTGAATCCACTCGAAAGCAAAAGTGAGTTTACGCATGCCCTTATAAATTAATCTTAAATGTTGTTACATCCAGTTTCTTTGAGTGAATTAATATACTAAGAAATCTTAAGTATTTAATGAGTAACAAATTAATGCACTAAATGGCTAAGGTAGTCTAGTTATACAGGAATCAGTTTTAGAATTCTTTTATTAATAGAGTCTTTGTTGTACAAAATGGAAACTTTGGCTACTTTCAGATGTGATTAGGCACCCGTTTCTTCAGGAACGTGAATATTGATCAGTGCAGAGTTTCTCTGAATCTAGGTCTTAATTGGAAATATATTGTCATAACAGAGTACTAAAAGGAAGCAATTGAGCAGATCCAAAAGTACATACAGTTGACTTTAGTCGTTATCTAAAAACTAAGCACCTCCAAATTCAAATATTCAAATACATGGATTTCATTTACAGTCCTCTTACAGAGTGGATCATTGGTAATTATGTCCAAGACCCTTGCATACTGCAAAAGCCAAAAATGTCTGTTGAGTAGCAATAAAGATGAAACATAATTTAAAAGATTTTCTTTAGTTTAAGTGTGCTGTATTAATGGCTATACAAACAGAAGTAAAACTTGTCAAGTAAATATTGCGAACAGTTATTTTAAGGTGTTTATAAAATAAGAGAAACTTTGAGAAAAATGCAAGAAAATTTTGTGGTGATAAAATTGAAAACAAATCACTTGATTTGGGATAGGTCTCTTCTATCTGTTTCCTGTTTGTTCATCCTCTCTTTGACTGTGTCTCTTAAGCAAGATGTGGCTTACCCTTAAGGCCAGATGGGCTCAATAGCTAGAATATGAGCTTAAAGACAGTCTCAGAATGAAAAATCAAAGGAGATTGGGGAGATGCCTGTATTTGAATCTAAGTAACAGTAAGAATGTTTATTGTGGCATCTTATTATATAATATCTTAGGCTTATTAGAGTTTGGTGAATAATAGGTATGAGCATTCTTTCTCGAAACTCTTAACTATATTCTTAATATTTAATATGTACTAGCTTCTTTTTGACATGTTCTTTTCTTTTTTGGGGAAAGGGGTGGGGTGAGGGAGGCAAGGTCTCACTCCTAGGCTGGAGTGCAGTGGCGCAATGACGGCTCACTGCAGCTTTTACCTTCTTGGGCTCTGGTGATCCTTCCACCTCAGAGTTACTGGGACTACAGGCACGCACCATGATGCCCAGCTAATTTTTGCCTTTGTGTGTGTGTAGAGACAGGGCCTCGCCATGTTGCCCAGGCTTGTCTTGAACTCTTGGCTTCAAATGATCCTCCTACCTCGACCTCCCAAAGTGCTGGGATTACAGACGTGAGCCACCAGGCCTGGCTTGACATGTTCTTAAATTTGCTTTTTATATTTCAAAAAAAAATTGATGAAATTATATTCAAGCATTATACTTCTTAATTATGTAGATTAAAATTTGGTACAAGCAGCTGGGCACCACAGAGTATGCTTGCTAGTAGTGCTTCTCTAGTAGTCCTCGCTACTAGAGAAGTTGAGTAGGGAGCAAGGAGCGTTGAAGCCAGCCCAGGCAACATAGCAAAACCCTAGCTCTTAAAAACAACAAAAAATTTATTAGAAACAACATGCATTGTAATACCTGATACCTAATAGGTGTTTAGTAAATATTTTGAATGAAATTGAGTTTCTTTTCCATTATTCATGTTCATTCTTTATGCACAGAATATTAGAATTGGAAAGGGAGAACTTGTCAATTTTGATGAGTATCACCAGTCAAGGTGTTACCAAAAAAAGAAATGAAAGAGAAGCATGTGCAGGCTCTTTTTTTCATTTTTATTTTCCTGTCTTTGTAGGTTACCTTTTTCTTTTCCTCTTTGCCCTCTTTAGTTTTCTACCTTATTTTTTATTTATTTATTTTATTTTTTGAGATGGAGCCTCTCGCTCTGTCACCAAGGCTGGAGTACAGTGATGTGATCTCAGCTCACTGCAACCTCCGCCTCCTGGGTTCAGGTGATACTCCTGCCTCAGCTCCTGAGTAACTGGGATACAGGCACCTGCCACCGTGCCTGGCTAATTTTTGTATTTTTAATAGAGATGAGGTTTCACCATGTTGGCCAGGCTGGGCTAGAACTCCTGACCTCAGGTGATCCGCCTGTCTCGGCCTCCCAAAGTGCTGGGATTACAAGCATGAGCCACCACACCCGGCTTTAGTTTTCTACCTTAGACATGAATGTTCTGGTAATTGTTTGTCTACTCATAGTTGGCGCCCAGTGCTGAAGAGCCTGCTCTCGATGGTCTAAGGCAGGAAAGATCAGATAATAATGTTGGGCTCTGTGGACCCGTGAGATCCCTGTCAGAACTACCTAATGCTGCCTGCCCTTGGAGCATAATAGGTATAGACAAATGGGCACGACTACGTTCTAATAAAACTTTCTTACGAACACTGAAGTTTGAATTTTACATGCTACTCATGCTTCACGGAATGTTTTTTGTATGATATTTTTTCTTTCTAATTAAAGATGTATAAACCATTTTGGATTCACAGACCTTACAAATAGAGGCTGTGAGTTGGATTTGGCCCACAGGTGGCAGTTTGCTTATCTCTGCTTTTATAAGACAGTGATAAAAAAGTATAGCCACAGAATGAAAAGTAAAGGGGAGGCCTGCCTTTTCCTAACTATATAGGTAGCTTTACAACTAGTATGTCAGAAGCATTGTGTTAATAATATACTGGGTTTTTGTTTCAGGTGGCACATTTAGAACGAACAGGGCATTACCTAACTGTGAAAGACAACCAGGTGGTTCAGTTGCATCCCTCTACTGTTCTTGACCACAAACCTGAATGGGTGCTTTATAATGAGTTTGTTCTAACAACAAAGAATTACATCCGGACATGTACAGATATCAAGCCAGAATGGTAAGTACACCTTTTGTTCTAATAGTTTTTTGTTAATACTTCACTCAAAATGGAACCCGACTGTTGCTAGAGTCATGGCCTTGCATTCACTCATTGAGGATTTATATTTGATTGTGTAGGTATGAGGGTATTGACTGGATGGTGTGGTTAATCTTTCAAACCCTTCTTTTGATAAGTGGAAAGTGGGATTGTTGATATTTATGGGCAGGATTTGAAGCCAAATGTAATTTGAATAGCATGAAAAGTTTCTTTAGGGGCTGGGCATGGTGGCTCACACCTGTAATCCCAGGACTCTAGGAGGCCAGGGTGGGAGGATCACTTGAAACCAGGGGTTCAAGATCAGCCTGTGCAATATAGCCAGACCCCATCTCTACTAAAATATATATAGGTGTGTACAAAAATTAGCTGGGCATGGTGGTGCTGCACACCCGTAGTCCCAGCTACTGGGGAGGCTGAGGCAGGAGGATTGCTTGAGCCCAGGAGTTTGAGGTTGCAGTGAGCTGTGATCATGCCACTATACTCCAGCCTGGGTAACAGACCGTATCTCTCAAAAATACTTTCAAAAAGGGTTTAAAAAAAAATTTTTTTAAGAGTTTCTTTGGAGCCATTCTTTTGCTGTTGTGATTAACTCAAGTCACTACTGTTTCTTGCTTGCAGAAATTTTTTTTTTTTACATTTTATTTCTCCCATTACAATTAGCTCTCAACTATTTATTATTTATATATTGGTTTTTAGGAATTGTGCAGGCATAAAAATGATAACTCTTTGTATTTTAACATACTAGCTTTTACAAAATGTAGAGTGAGAACTGATTGTTTTATTTTAAGCAAAATAACCCTCACCTTCATGGTTTTTTTTATTTATGCCAGAATCTGTTCTATAACCTGTGATAGGAAATGTCAGCCAAAAGTAGTGGGACTGAAGGCATGTATTCTAGTTGCTGTCACCGCTTTATATTGTACGACTGCTTTCTTATACAGATTTGGGACTTCTGACACTTAAATTGTGTAGGACATTACCATTTTATCTGAAATGCTTTGTTGAGAAAAAAATTGTGTAGCTAAACTTTATAAAATATTTCAGTCAGGTGTATTTTGGGGCTATAGAGTTACAGTTATTTAAAAAAAAATTGGAAATGAGAAGATCCAATCATTTGAATACCACGATGTTTCCTACACAAAACCTGTTACATTACTATATCCTTGGAGCGGCAAGTTAATAGTGTGCCAGAGTAAAGAAATCAGTGACTTTATCTGTTATCCTTACATTAATGTATCTTGAGGGTTTTTGTTTGTTTGTTTGTTTATGGTAAGTTCAACATCAGAAAATTTACATCTTACTAAATAAAATACTTAACACATTTCTAAAAGTGCCATTTGTAAGGATTAGTTATTTGTATTTTTATGAGACTTGAATTCATAGATTTGCCTTGGTTCATCAGTATATTAATGAATAATGCCTATCCTATTAACAACTCCAGTATTTCAATTAAATATTAATTTGGAAATTTTTCTCCCCCTTTCTAAACAGGTTGGTGAAAATTGCCCCTCAATATTATGACATGAGCAATTTCCCACAGTGTGAAGCAAAAAGACAGTTGGACCGCATCATTGCCAAACTTCAATCCAAGGAATATTCACAGTACTGAATTCAGTGCTTAGAACTGAAGTTATTGAGAGGACAGCTTTAAAAGATGAATGAACTCAAAAGTTCGAGTTGTGCTCTTCACGTTGGTTCGATAATGGCCTTTATTTGAAAGCTTTTTAATTTTTCTTTACAGTAAATATTCCATTCTGATTTCATAAATTAAACATTTATGCCTCCCTTTTGTGTTGACACTGTAGCTCATACTGGAAAAGTCGATCAATGTTTTGCAGTTTATTGAAAGTAGTTCTATATATAACAATGTTATAAGCATTTCTTTAGAAATGGTTGAAAATGCTTCTAAAATGTGATTATCGACCATGGTATGCATGATCGTTGTAATTGTTGACATTCCTTTTAGAAGTTGTGAAATGTTACAACTTGTGCTTATGTAGACACAATCTTCTGTCTCAGTACAGAGGCACTGACTTCAATAAAGTCTATTTATACTAATTTTGGCCAAAGCCCTTTGGTATCTTTGTTCTAGTCTCTAAGTATAGCTGTTTTTCTTTTCAAGTGTGGAGCTTTTTTATTATTATAATTATACTCTTACTACATATTTAATGTCTTTCTACAAGGAGTACTCCTTCGGAAAAGTAGCTGTTAAAGCAATGTTTTTAAGAGCATGGCTTAGCGCTTTGTTAGGTTAATCAGGATGTGATCGATCTAAAAGGAGTAAAGTGTGTGTAGTGACATTTGAAATTGGACCCCAAAAGACAGAACAATGAAAGGGGAGCTCTCTACTTGTCTTAGAGTTCCTTTCATAAGGTTCATAATTTATTATCTTAACTACATTTTTGTCAGATGTTTTTATTATACTTCTGGCTTCTCAAACATATATTAGGTAAGAGGGAAGCGTATTTTACATCTGTTTTACAAAATTCTTATAGTGTGTTAAAATGTACATTTGACCTTCCATTTTCTGTGATAGGCAGTAGACAAGTTGAAAACTTGTCTACATTCATTTTGGAATGAAAATTGAGGTGTTTTATGTGGCCCATAAAATGTTTTCTAATCAATTATTTTCATGTGAAGACTGCTGTACTCATTAATGTCTGGACTTCCTCTTCTTCCCGTCCTACCTTTATAAGTTTTTAAGCGTTAAAGAAAATATATAGATGTGTGCCTGGCATTTAAATATACTTGGTAACTAGCATGTGACTTAGGGAGTTGGGCAAGTTAACTCTTTGAAGCTAACAAGTATGCTTTTTAGTGTAGGTAGGTGTTACTAAATGATGCCTAGTGGCTTGAAAAAGTTAATGTGCCTTGTATAAGTGCCTCATTTTGTTCCCATGGAATAATTTACATGGTATAATAGTACTTCAGGTTACATTTAAATATTAAATGTTAGATATTTATGCAACAGCATTTTGAAATAGTTAGATATTCCTGCAACATTAAGCATTGGCAACATTGTCTGCCAAAATCTCTTAAAGTTATGTTGAAAAACATCTAAGCACTTGGTCAGACTGTTCTCACTGAAATGGCAGCTCTCACCAGAAGAATATTTGCCTGTTAATTTAAGCTGCAAGTGTAGTTTGTGAGGAGTTGTGTATCTTTATAATCTGACCATCCAATTTTAAGTAGGTCTCAGAGTGGTGTAACGTATTATTTAATCTTGGGCTGTGTAAAATGTGAAGTTAGACCATTAGGTTTTGTTACAGAGAAACTGTTAAGTGTTAGAGTTTTCAGATATCTAGAACAAAGTTTGGTATTTGGCAGAGCTTTTAGGAATGATGGGTGTGTATTGAGAATGGCCATGTAGAAAGAGCAAGCTGAGTTTTTATCATGATGTCTATCCCCCGCCATCTCCAGTTGTTCTAGGCTACATCTAACCAAAGCTGAAAGTTCTTCTTTTTTTTGTCGTTTTGGAGACAGAGTCTCGCACTGAGCCCAGGCTGGAGTTTAGTGGCGTGATCTCAGCTCACTGCAAGCTCCACCTCCTGAGTTCACGCCATTCTCCTGCCTCAGCCTCCAGAGTAGCTGGGACTACAGGCACCTGCCACCACGTCTGGCTAATTTTTGTATTTTTAGTAGAGACGGGATTTCACTATGTTAGCCAGGATGGTCTCCAGCTCCTGACCTCGTGATCCGCCCACCTCGGCCTTCCAAAGTGCTGGGATTATAGGCGTGAGCCACTGTGCCCGGCCTAAAACAGAAGATTCTTACCGTTGATGTTATTGACAAAGTTGTGGCTTTTAAAAATTGTCTTCTCTCAATCTCCTTATCTTACAGATTTGGCAGCTGAACACCAAAGTTGTTAGTTTCCTTTGTTTACATAGAGCTATGATTATCAAATAATTTATTTGTGCTATAGAACAAGAAAATTAAAAAGTTTTTTTGAAGATTACCTGAAGAGATCACCTTCCTTATCTGTCAACTTGGAATAGGTGAACTGCTTGTTGCGATATGGTATAAGGAAAGAAGGCCATCAGCAAGTAGAACCATTGACCCTGCAAATGTTCAGGAAATTAACACAACTTGTGAGAAATGGGACAAGATAAAAAATGCCCTACAATAAATCAATTTAGCTGGAATCCAAAAGCACTCTATACTCAAGTTTTTTATATGGCATATGACTTAGTTCTAGAATTTTAGGTTTATAAGGTACTCGCATATACTTAGAAGTAATTTTAATGGCTATCCTCCCTAACCAGATACATTAAGAAAAACAGTTCATTACCCTTGAAGGCTGCCTAATAGCTCTTAGAAATGCTAAGCTAAAGCTCTTTCTGTGTAACACCTGATTCCAGTTTTTCCTTCTAGAACATAAATAAGGCTGTTTGTTCTGCTACTCGATGGCCATTTAGATATTTGGAATTAACTGTCATCTTCCCTTATTTTTAATTTAGACTGAATAATTTTGTTTTTTGTTTGTTTGTTTTCTTTCCTGTCAACATTTCTCTTTAACACTGTTTCCAGCTTTTCTGAACATTCCTGGTTAACCTCTGCCAAGTGTTCTCTGGGTTGCAGTCAGTACTGTGGTCGAAGCTGGACAGACTGCAGTTGAACTTGCTATTTCCCAGAGGACCAGGCCTACCATCACTTCTGTTACTACAGTTTCAGATTACATGAACCTTTCAAGCAACCATAGCATACTTTTGTTTCATTTTAATCTTAGTCTAAATTTAAGGTGCCTAATTGCTACTTGAGAATTTTAATCTTTGTGGCTCTGGGCTGAGAAAGGGATCTTCGCAGACCTTGGGTCGTGTTAATCTTTGGAGACTTCACCCTACATGTTGAAATATATCCACAGCTCATTAATGACATAAAAAATTAAAGGCAGGATAGGAATATCTTAAGCTAACAGTCTCAGAGTTCTTGTAGTATGAAACCTACACATTATTTCAAATTCAGTTTTTATCAATGTTACATTTTAAAATGAAGTTGACAGATTTAGTAAATAATTGTATGTAAACATTAATTTGAATTTTGCAGTTTCTTTTAATATTAGAGAACATGATGAGGTAGTTTTCTGGTCTTGTGCATTTTTAGTGGTCCCTTAAAAATTAGCTATAAGTATTTCTTAGATGATTAAAAGCATTTCAGAGCAAGAGTGATGGTTCAGAGACAGTTTTTAAAGTTCTGCTTTATTGAAGTATAATTAACATCAACTATACATTTTTAGATCTATAGTTTGATGAAGTTTGACAAATGTATACAGTTGTGTAATTGTCACCACAATCAGTACACAACGTTTTCATCACCCCAAAAAGTTCCCCATGTGTCTCTCTAGCTAATATCCTTCCTCCTATTCCAAGTGTTTGGCTACTTGGAATCATACTGTGTGTAGTGTTTTGTGTCTAGATTCTCTCATTTGGCATAATCCTTTCAAGAGTCATCTATTTCATATATATCAGTGAGTTCTTTTTTTATTGCTGAGTAGTTTTCCATTGTCTACGTACCATATTTGTTTATGCGTTTTCCAGTTAGAAAGTCGGCTTTTTCCAGCTTTTGGCTGTGATGAGTAAAGCTATTTGTATGTAGATTTTTATATGGGCATGGATAAGTTTTTCTATTGGGTAAGTAACTAGGAATCAAGGTTGCTGGGTTGTGATAAATGTATGTTAAATTTTGTGAGAAACTGCTAGTTCTTCAAAATGCTGTATCATTTTGCTCCCCCACCATCAGCATATAGGTGTTTTGATTGCCCTCTATCCTTGCCAACATTTCATACTATCTATTTTATTTTAAATTTTAGCCATTTTAGTAGGTGTTGTACCTCGTGGTTTGTTTGTATTTCTCTAATGACTAATCAGTAATGGTGTGGAATATTGGGATGTCTTTTCATGTCCATATTTACCATTTATATCTCTTAGGTGAAGTAACTTGTCGTAACTTTTGCCCTTTTTATAATTAGTATTTTTTAATTGTTGAGTTTAAGAGTTCTTTGTGTATACTGGATCTAACTTCTTTATGAGATAATCTGTTTTGTAAGTGTTTCTCTAACCTGTTAGCTTATACTGTTGTTTCCTTAAGAGTGTCTTTTGAAGAGTAGAACTTTTTTGAGACAGAGTTTCGCTCTTGTTGCCCAGGCTGGAGTGCAATGGTGTGATTCCAGCTCATGACAACCTCCACCTCCCAGGTCCCAGGTTCAAGCGATTCTCCTGATGCCTCAGCCTCTGGAGTAGCTGGGATTACAGGCATGCGCCACCATGCCCGGCTAATTTTTTATTTTTAGTAGAGACAGGGTTTCTCCATGTTGTTCAGGCAGGTCTTGAACTCCCGACCTCAGGTGATCCACCCGCGTCAGCCTCCCAAAGTGCTGGAATTACAGGTGTGAGCCACCGCGCCCAACCAAGAAGAGAACTTTTACAAATATTGATCAAGTCCAATATTTGGTTTTGGGTTGGTTTTTGTTTGTTTTCTTAAGTGGTTTATGGTTTGTGCTTTTTGGTCAGGGTCAGTTTTGGTGGTATGCTAAGAGGACAGCAAAGAGCAGTCTGGTTTGAATGGAGCATGATCTCTTTAGGTAAAAGCAGAGGAGACTATGAATTTAGGTTGGGGTTGAGTTGTTGAGGAACTTGAAGGTTAGGCTAGGTGTGCATCTGAGTTCAGTATAGAGGATAGATTGTCAGAAGAGGGTTCACTGAAGTCATTTAGAAAAAATACTACACAATAACGCAGGTAATGAGATTGAACTAGAAGAATCAGAATGAAAGGGACAGAGATGAAGTGGTGATCTAAAGCAAGAGAGCCATTAGAGATACCTCGTGTAGGCTATATGAGATGCATGGCTTGGGGTGCCAGTCATGAATCTAGGGTGCAGATCAATCTGAGATCCTAGTTGCTGCTGAGAGAGAAAAAAATGGTAGCGATTACAAAGCACAGAACCTTTAATAAGAGGATGGGAGGGTGAAGGAGCAGCCAGAAAGTAAAATAGTTTATTTAGATAGTGGAGTTTCATGCTGCAGAGAGGTGTGTGGTGGATGGGAACTGTGAATCCTGAAAGC